CCGGACGGCCGGCCGGAAGGGAGGGAGGCCAGGAGGGAGGCCGGAGCCGAGTGCGCCGCTCCGGACGGAGTCGGCGGCGAGGGAGGGCCCGGACGGCCGGCCGGGAGGTAGGGAGGTCAGGATCCCAGCACAAATCAGCAGCTGCTCCGCCGCCACGGGCGTGACGCTCCCAGCGGGGATGCCACGCGCCGTCGGTCCGCTCTCAGACGTACACAGTCCACCCCGTTCAGGACACGGTGCGCTCCAGTGTTGCAACCCAATTTGAAATGGGAAAGCCGAGGGTATATTGTTGCAGCATTAACGGACAACGGGCGGCTAAGATAAGATTGCTTATCCTGGCTTGCATTCACGCTAGTTATTGGCGTGGCAATCTATCACATCGACAGGCAGAACAGCTGGCGGACACAGTCAGACGTACAGTGATAAGTGAGCAACATGATCTAGTGGTCACAGATCCCTCCCCTAATCGCGATGAAGGATAGGCGTGGCTTTGTCGCCCGTCAAAGGGTGAGTCTTGGCCTGCGTGAATGGCTGGTGGCCTTCAATTGCCGCGGAATCCTGGGCCTGAGTTTACTTATCAAAAACAAGAGTCCACAACAAGTCAGCTATCACATCATCTTAATAAAGCTCATTCTTCTCCTTCACGTTCTCAACGAGCAAAGATCTTTTGCCACGGTTTCAGCACCGATGGCAGTTAATCCTGAGTCACGAACAGAACAGCAAGGCTTGTCCGCCACAAATGCACTGGACAGCTAATCCTGACTCACGAACAGAACAGTAAGGCTGTGAGCCACAAATGCCGTGCACCGACGCCGTGCAGTGAGCCCCACGCCGCGCAGTTCACAATACAGCCCGCACGCCCAGGTTGGAGCGCGCCGCGACCTTCGAGCGGCGCACGCAGAACCCGTTCCGTAGCGGCGACAAAAACCGGGCGCCGTTTCCGCGGGAGGCGTCATCGGCCGGCGCTGGCGCTGCGGCGCGGTCAGCCGGCCGACTTGGGCTGGCGATGCCGCGACCAGTTCTTGGCAGGCGTCGGACGCGCTGGCAGCCGACGCCGCGCCGCCGATGCCGGCAGGTCAACAATCGGCCGCAACAGTTTGGCCGGCAGCGGCCGGAAACCGGGCCGCGCGCGCGGCGCCGAGCCAAACGCCGCGCCGCACGCGCCCGCCGGCGCATTGTCCACGTGACTTATCCGCGCATCAGTGTGCAAGCCTGCATACTGGCGGCTGCGGCTGCGGCGGCGGCGGCGGCGGCCGGCCGGCGCCGCACGGACGTCACGGGCTGGCCGTTGCTGAGAGCCGTGAGGTGGGGGAAGGGGGGGGGGGCCGAGGGGGGCTGGCAGGCGGCCTGTGCAGGTGCACTGAGCCGCGCCGTGCCGCGCCGGCAGGGCAGCGATGGCTGGCGGGGGGACGGCGGCCGGCGCTGGACCCGAGGCCGCCGGCCAGCCCGGGCGTATCGAGCGCACGGCCGCCTGCGGCCGTCCGGCATTGAGAGGGTTGCCCGGCAACGGCGCCGTCAACACGGCCGACTGGCGGTCGCGGCCGGGCCGCGTGCGTCTCATCCGACCGCCGCAATGCTGGCCGAGATCGCCTAATGCCTCTGTCGATGAGACGCGAGTACCTGATCGGCCGACGCCGCCCGAGGTCGACTTTGCGCCGCGGCGAAGCGTCGCCGCCGCACGACAATCGATGCGTCGTCAGGGGCATTGGGTTCGCGTCGCGGCGTCGCTCCACGAGTCAGCTGGCGCCGCGCCGTGCCCGGTGCGCCGGGCGGCGGCTGACGGCAAGCTCGGCCGAGGCGTGCGCACGCCCGCCGGCCGGGATGCCGGCAGATCGGGCCCGCCCGTCAAATTACTGCCGACCGTACATCCGGCGCCGGCGCGGCGAGCGACGCTGTGTTAGCAGCCGTCGCCAGCGCTGACGGACACGCCCGGAGTCCCGTCAGGCCGGCACGCACAGGCTGGGGGCGCCGCTGATGCCGCGCACAACGTCAGAGAAGGCGGGTCACAACAACCGGACTGGTCGATGATTGGTGCATGAGCAATGCCTACACGAATATTTCGAGTCGATTGGTCTGACCTGCTCGCATTCAAAGCTGCAGGACTGGTCGAAAAGAGCGAGGGCGAAGAAGGTAGAGTTGAGGTGCCCCCGCGCCACGTAGGGGCTGCATTCATAGATCGCGGTGATCTTCTCCGGATCTACGCATGATCAGTGCAAAACTGGCACCACCGCAGCCAACGCCAGATCCTTTAACTAAATGTTGGAAACCCAACGATCCCCACAATAGTCGGCAAACAACTGCCATAATAAAACTGGCTTCAACCGCAATGCTGGATTGTGTGATGCTTATTCAAAACCATCAACCGATACGAATAACAGGCATAACTATGCCACCAAATCATGTTGCGTAAGCCGCGGAAACAGCAAACTGGGGATGAAAACTGTTTTGAAATATCTAATTTTGAGGCTTCTACTCTCAAGCTCCAACCATGCGCGTTCCATTATTTGCGATCAATACTACTCCAATTCTGCAGCCAATAGCTGAAGCCGTATTCGCGGCAATCAGTAATAGAGGGTATAACCGAGGAGGCTGAATGAGCTACGAATAAGACGGGAATCTTGAAACACCAACTATACTTTTCGTGACGTTCAAGAACTACCAGTTATGCTGGCAATAGCTCTAAATTGAACGCGCATGTGTGCATGTGCAATACTGACTGAAAGAATCCGGCTAAAACAGCTTCTATCAGTCGGTTTCTACTGGTTGAAGTCGCCTGACAGAAACTGTTGGTGGCAAGAACAAAACAACGCAGAAGCTGGTTGACAACTAGCCAAAACTAAACAAAGTAAATCAACCGTTATGTGTGATCAACTAACCATACCGCAGTTGACTACCAGAATGCATTTATAACAACTCTCAGCTAATCCAACGCAGTGGAAATGTGCGTCAGCGTGTGCTAAGTTCCGAGTCTCTGTGTGTGGGGTGGCAGCCTAGGTGGGAAGCACAAGACAGAATAGCAGCTTAGTACGGGGGGACTGCACATCCCGCGAACTCCAGGGATGATAGCTTATTTCGAATCTCGGCAGAGTTGTCGGCATGCTTCTGCAACGTGAAAACGAAAGGAATGAACCACAACGGAAGCCACCGGAGCACTGAACGAAATACCCCTTCCTGAATAGAATGATTAAACTCGGCACACACAGTACACGCACAATACTGAGAAAAGAAGTGCCCTGCAGAAACTGGATTTCTCCAAAGAAATGAATCCCGGTCATGAATCATTAGGCGCCAACGCACGATTGCAATGGATGAGTAATTCTCCAGTCTATTTCTTGGCAACACTCGCTGTTCAGTCGGACGCTGCAGGCTGCCCTAACCTTGCGCTGGACACCAGACAGCCCGCTTCTATCTTTAAACAGCTCTGCACCACACCAAGCTCCAGTATTCAGTCACGTGCAGCACAAAGGACCAGGTGCCCGGGTGTTTGGTCAGCGTGGACTAAATCCTATCCCAGAGAGGTTTCGTTACGGGGCATCTCAAACCTGCAAGCACGTTCATAATCATAGGACGCTGCTGAGGAAAACGAACCAGCCCCCGACCTGGAGTCATCGAATCCGACTTACAACACGGGGAGCACGGCTGCGACCGGGCGAACAGCCCAGACAAGCCGGCTCTGCCTATCACACGAATCCTGCTCCTCAGATAGCTTTCCTAATATGATTTCCCCGAGCCGACAGCAGCGCACTGGCCTGGGGAGGGTTGCCGTCCCAGGAGGGGTTTGATATCGATCACGCGGCCTGTTCGCCTGCCGCCCTGCCCCTCCCCGCGCCCGAGATGTGGCCTGGCCGCTGGAGGTCGACCGATCGCGGTCTGGCCGAATCTGGCACGTGCGCCGCCCCCGCTGCTGGCGCAGGGGACCACTGCACGACACACACACACACACACACACACACCAGGCACCAAGCAGTGTGCATCCTACCAGTTTGTGTTGAAGATACCTTGTTGAGGACTGCTGTTCAGTTCTGATGATGATGATGGACAGGGGCAGGTGGTTAAATGTGTGGAAAACCCATAATGGGCTGCATCAGCCCCATTTTGACAAAAAAGGTGGGGATGCTGAAAGCACTCTGGTAAAGCAAAGAATAGAAGATTATGTTTTTTCAAAGAATTTAAGAGGATGACGTCTCCAATACCTCCCCCCCCCCCCACTTCCTGTGTCAAAACATTACAACAAACATTGTCAGTCCTGCAAATATACACCTTTCAAAAGCATGTACCATTTCCAAATGTTGCATGCAAATTGTAAATTAAAAAAACCCAACCTGAAAAACATACTGATGATGTCTTAGATACATGTAGAGATGGACCTGTAGCTAAATGTGAACTCCTCCCAGATGCTAGCTAGCAGTCAGAACATAAAATGCTTCAGGATTTTTTTTTTAAACTAACAGATCAAGCCTGGTCACTTTTGAATGATGCAGTTTTAAAATGCACTGGCAACTTAGTTAATTTGTGTGGGAGCATACTGAGAATGAACTGCATATTTGCAGCCACTGTGCAGCTCAGAACCACTTAACCAAGTAGCTTAAGCATCCCTAAACAAACTTGTTATTTTTGTCTTCTACCACTGTCAGTATGTGTATGTGGGATGGATGAAGGGAGTCTCATTTTGTTTTGTTTCTTCCTGAGTACCATTCTAAGCCTAACCTTTGTTTTCAAAGTTGATATGCCCATTATCCTTCTCTAACAGTCATCAGATATCAGCATGCTTGCTCACTGTGAGGTGGCAAGCTTATATGTAAGTCTTAAAAATTGTACCTCCCACCTGGGAATGAACAATACCTACTGAAAAACACTGCTTAACCATTCAATTAAAGGTGACTTCTCTGCTGGCTTGCAAATGGCTGAAAATGTAATAGACCCCTCAACACTCTTTTCAAAATTGCTGGATAGTCATATTTCGGTCTAGGGCAGTAACATTCTTGTTCCAGGTGACTTACCTTGATTCCACTCCTTCCCTGCTGCTTCAGGAGCACATTCTCGGGCTTCAGATCACAATGAATGATTTTGTTCCTATACAGCACATCCAGACATTGAAGAAGTGAATGTGCAAACTTCCGCACCAGCTGCAGACTAAACCCCTGGAACTTGTTCTTCTTGATGAGTTCATACAGGTTGATTGAAAGAAGCTCAAATGTGATGCATATATGGTTCCGAAACGTGAAGTGATCATACATATGGATGATATTGAAGGTATTGTACTTGTCCTGCTTTCTGAGATGTTCTAGGATTTTGATCTCCTCCTGTGCCTGCTTGTGGAACCTTTTCTCATTCCTCACCATCTTCAAAGCAACATGAATATGATGCTTGTGGTCATAGGCCTTTACAACTTGCCCAAAGCTCCCTTTTCCTATCACTTTCAGCACCTCATATCGGTAGGATACATGATCATGGATGATGTGAATGTAAGAACCCTGGTCATCATCATAACCACAGTTGTTACTACTTCCTATGATCCCTGGTTTTTTCTTGGCATTTGCCCCAATGTAGTAGATCTCTGGGTATGAGTAGATCTCCTGCTGCTCATAGGGTGTCAATTTGCTTTTGTACACCCTGAGAATTTGTTCTGGAGTAGCAACTACATTCTTTGGCTTTGCTGCAGATCCATTCTTCATAGGGCTACTGGAGCTCTGGCTGTTCCCATCAGTTGTTGTCCCAGGCCGCATAAGTGGCAATGTCTGACTCTGGTCATTGTTCTGGCCATTTTGCACAGTCTGAGCATCACCATTTGTTTGTGTTGTGTCTTGGTAGAACATGTTGAGCTGCTGTACTTGCATTGCCTCTCCATTCTGATTCGTACCATTCTGGTTTTTCAAGGGAGGCAGATGAACTACACTGCTATTATCTCCAATGTTCTGAATGTATCCATCTGTAGCACCAGGGGTGTTAGATGTTGTACCATTCATATTTCCTAATAAAGATCTTGTGCGGTACAGGGGCATGGTCGAGTTCCGGGCACTTTCACTGGCGGCTCGGCTCACACCTATCTATTCGCATGTTTCTCTTCTCAGAGCCTCCCACGCTGAATCACGGCGATGATCCTGCGGACCGCCACTGTACACTGGTGCAGCACCACACAAAGGTTTCTCGACAAAAGCCGCAAAATGGAGCTTTGTGCTTTCTGTCCGCCATACCCACCTCAGAAGGTGGTTATAAAAACTGTTTCATACCATTGTGGATAAAAATGGTGATAAAACGTACTTCAATTCATGCACTTATCCCGAACTTCGGCGCCGCCCGCTCACCGCCTCCACTCCACAATCCACGTCCCGCTCGCCCACCGTCGGTCTCCGTCTTGGCTTGGAAAATGGCGACGCGTCAATGCCCCATGACGTCATTGGGCGCTGACCAATCACAAAGTGGGCTCAGTGGATCAGCTGTTAGAGGTGCTGATTCCAAAACGCGGCAAAGCCCGGTACGAAGACGGGAATAGCGCCCCGAAATGAGAGCAGCGCCGTTTGATCGACTGGGACAAAGAACCGACCGTACTTTATCGGACTTCTGGTAATCAATGCATGTATCCCCCAGCGCTGCCCGGAGGTGATGTACGAAAACTGAGAAGGTAAGTTGCACAGCAGTCAACGATTTGAACACAACCCCTCAATGGGCTCACGAACAGCTGTTCAATCCCCTTTGTTGTCTGTGTGCGGTTTTGGAAGGTTCAGAGGCGTCAAGCTGCGCGACGCGCGCCCGATGGGGCGACGTCAAAGAGGTGCTCCACACTGGTCACTCACACGTAGATTTGACTAAGCAATCCACTGATCGCATAATGCATTGCTGTCGGCCAGATATTAATTATATATCCGACGTAAATCGGACCTCAAGGCGGATCAGAATGGACGTTGTTGAGGTGAGACAGCACTACACAACCAGCATCTCGCCCCAGTTAGTAACGTTTCCGTCCAGGTAGTCAGTGACACACCCAGGACGGCGTCCAGGGTGGAGGATAGCGGTGGGACAAGTCCCACCAATGGGCCATGGTATTTGAAATTCACAAAAGTAAAGCCCCTCGAACAGTCGCAAACTGCCGAAACGCACCGTCGAGAGGCGTTCATCCCCAGTTGCCCCCCGACCTCCCGGATCAAAGATGGGCACCCCACCCCCTCCTGCTTGTTGAACACGCTCCTGAAGTAGCCTGCATCAGACATTCCACCGCGGGCCTCCCTGCATGACAGTGTCTGAACACGAGAAACCGCCAATCACCGCAACTCCAGATAGTAGCTGGCAACACGCCGCTGGATTACCACTTCGATTGCACCATGTTCGAACGGAGCTCAATACGCTCAGCTCGACTCAACAGAAGCCTGATCAATATTTCCGATTTGCCTTCTGCGTACCACTATGAGTGTAATTCCTTGAGCCTGGCTCAATTTTCCTTGCACCAAATGATTTCCAAAACCCACCGAATATTTCCTGTCGCCCTCTAGTAAAAGAACCATCACGTCGCTGGTCAATATCATATACACAACCACTGACGTTCTTGCCAGAAACAAGATGACGTAAAGCCACGGATATATTGACATATTTGCTCACGGGATCAGACTAGAGAACGATCGAAGTCCACTGACGTAACATTATGAGTAAATAAACTGGGATTCAAAACCGATTTGTTCAAAAGAAGACTACAAACCTTAAATCTTCCATAATCACAAACTTAAAATCACGTTATCAATGCAATATCCCCGATACAGATTTACAGTGGCACGGCACTTGTTTCAGTGAGGGCGACCAAGCCATCAGCCCTCGCGGTCCCTCCGTGGCATCCCGCCAATTTGTGCGCGCAGGTGGCTTTCAGCCGCTTCTACGGAACACCGCACCAACCTGCGCCCCCTGCCTGGTCAACTGACACCGCTGCTCCGGGGATATGTACACACTACGGCCACCTGCCTGTCCCCCCCCCCCCTTCCCACGCATACACAAGGTCAACGGGCGATCGGTCCAACGTCCATTGCCGCCGCCGTGTGCGGCTGTACGCGGTAGGGTTAAACGCACATCGGCCACGGGCGTCAAGAGGCGTCCCACTTCATCGCGCCTGATGGGTCGCGTGCAGCCAAATCCACGGTCGGTCCCTTATAAGGGCTATGGTGTAGGACACGCCTCAACGAAATCCAGTACCAGGCTAACGCTCGGAAGAATGCAGCAAAACGTAACGTTTTATCGCCCAGACAATGTACAGTGGTAGATAACGGGCAAGTTCGTACAAACCATTGTAAGGATTTGGCAGATCAGTGCTTTAACAGACTAATGGATCATACGTAGAAATCGGTGATGAGACGCGTGGAAAATATTTGACGGCAAGGAATTCAGCCGAATACACTACAATTACGCTTCTCTAACGAATACTGCTATTTGCACATTCTCCCCATCACTGCATTCGCTCTGCATGCAAACAAAAAACGCTACACCAAGCACTGCCACCTAGTGCCGTTAACTTGAAGTTGAAGGTCCGGCGCCATCTGCACTGCGACCACCATTTTCGTCTTTGCTCTTCTTCAGACTGTCCAGGTACTCTTGCTGAGATGCGGCAAGAACTTGGGCCAGTATGCCAGCATCCTCCCATTCAGACAAACCTTAAAGAGAATGTCACAATGAATGTGTGAGATAAAAACGTCAGGAATGAACCTGTGAGTGGGAATACATGAGTGGTCCGTTGACAACAGCTTGAGTGTAATTCGCAAAGGGCGCATGATACGCGCAGTTGTCAGGTCAGCACTGCTATTGACAAGAAACATTACGGTACAAACCAACGGTCGTTTCGTACGCAAAAAACATGGAGCAATGTTGCAATCTACAGAAACACTTCACACCCAGCTGAGATCAATGTCAGGAAAAGTGAAGAACAGTTGCAGAATTCAAGTCACATGGGAACAAAGGTATAAGGCGCAGAATTTAAGTCACATGGGAACGAGGATATAAGGAAAGCAGAAACAGGTTGCTTATACTGTGAAGAGAACCACGAACGACCCATGAACAGTCAGCACATGCTGCATTGTTATGACCATGGGAGGACATCCAGTGATCTTAGGTCGACTGACAACAGCGGGCGGCGCGTGCCTGCTTCGTGTCACGCCCAAGATGGGGTCCGTATTCGGTCTTTTCCTGAAAGAACCAGGGCACAACGCGCCCGCCTGCCCCGGCACCTGGCGGGGGAGGGGGACGGGGCTCCTACCGAACATGGCCGGCGGCAGCTGATTCATGAAGGTGGCTGTCTCCAGCAGCGGGAAGCCAAGGTCTCTGCTAGGCCCGGGTGCGGCCAGCGGTGAGCCCACGCGGTCCTGCCGGCGCGCCCAGCCGTGTCAGGCCAACAGCGTCACAGACTGGCGTGCACACAGGTGGGGACACACACGTGCGAGCAGGCGACATAGGGACAGGGAGACCGGTCGGGAGCGCATACAGCCAGATGGGGTTACCCTTGAAAAAAAAACCGAGTACCCACACTTAAATCTATTATTTAACAAAAAACACTAATTTCGGAGCTAAGAAGCACCAAAAGACCCGAAATATCTACCCAGAACCATAAGCAAGCACAGATAAACACAAAATACGCTGGAATTGCAAAGAAACAATACAGCCCTGCATATAGCTGTACGTTACCCTGTCTTGGGCACGCCTCTGTCACATACCCTGACAGAAGTCAGACATGGCCACGGCAGCTGTGTGGGCGAGTCTCACCGTACTGACCTGGGCGGCGGTGGCCGGGCCGGCGGCGGCGGCAGCGGCGGCGGCGGCGGCGGCGGCGTCGGCGGCCGCCGCGGCGAGGCTAGCGGTGACGGTTTGGCGGCGCCGCGCGGCGAGCCGCGCCCGCTGGACGAGCGGCCCGGCGACGGCTGGCTGGTGGCCGACGGACTTCGCGCCGGCAATGGTCGCGGGGAACGCACCTCAGCCGACGTCGCCGTCGACGACGACGCGCATGAGGTCTGCCGCCGAGCGTCGGCGGTCAGCGAGAGGGCACCGTCCGAGTGCGACGGAGGCGGGGTACGTGGAAGCAGGTGTACGAGGTTCGCTGCCGAGCGTCGGCGGTCAGCGAGAGGGCACCGTCCGAATGCGACGGAGGTGGGGTACGTGGAAGCAAGTGTGCGAGGTTCGCCGCCGAGCGCCGGCCATGAGCCGGAGAAGAAACGATCACGGGGGGGGGGGGGAGGAGGAAGTACTGACAGCAAAAGATATTGGTCAGAATCAGGACCCGCAGCGACCCGGAAAACTTCTTACAATAAGCTGTCATCACAAGTCGGTGGCAGTAACGAATGCGATCAAGACAACACGATATACACAAGCCAGGTGAAGCATCAGCGGAAGTCCTGCCTGCTGCAGAAAAGAGTCGCCGAAACCCATCGCAACGCAAGTGTTATAGAATAGAAGACAATAGGTGTGAGGAGCAATGTTGCGGTATACTATGATATCCCAGTGTTCCATCTTCAAACGTTTAAGCCGTCAGAAATGCTTGAAACCGGAAATATTTTATGACCACATACGCACGCACGCACGCACGCACGCACGCACGCACACACACCCACACGCATACATACATACATATACATATATATATATATATATATATATATATATATATATACATATATATATATATATATATATATATATATATATATATATATATATATATATATATATATATATATATAGTCGCGCATCTATCAGCTCGATGATGCGGCCCAACGCTACAAAAAGAACGTTTGTTTTTGGAAAAAAACAAAAACGATTAACTTCCTTTACCAGCTTGGGAGAGAAGTCCATTTTACTCATGCTGGTGACTCCCAGTGAATACCGTATTCTGTTGCAAAATACACAACCTGCATTTCATTATTCAGAGCTGCTTCAATATTCATCAATGCATGGACGTGTAGCGGAATGGATCGCAATGGTGTACTCCAAACATCGGTGGACTATCAGGCCATCAGGTTTATCAACCATATCCCCACTCCAACAGTGAGAAAGTGGACCAGCACAGACCACTGTATGACTGGGCAAGCCAGCGACCCAGACCGGCCCTCCCTCGGGACGCCGGCGACCCAGACCGGCCCTCCCTCGGGCCGCCAGCGACCCAGATCGGCCCTCTCTCGGGACGTCGGCCGACCTTGTTGCGTTTTTCGTTGTCCTTGAGCCACTGGAGGTAGCTCTCGCGCGCCACCTGCTCCGAGATGGTTTCGTTGGTGGCCTCCCAGTCGGTGGCCTTCAGCTTGTCCTCCAGCATGGTCTGTCGCGCAGAGGGGTCACATCAGCGTCCGACCGAGCCCGGCTGGCGACGCGCGACGTCTCCACATAACACCGCACACTGGGCACGGCGACGTGCGACGTGGATGTGGCGCAACACGAGCTGGATTTCCTGCGACAAAAACAACACAGCAGGGGAGAAACGCCCGACTGTGCGCAGTCAGGACGTCGGAGCGGCACTGCACAGCATGTAAATAGACGCATCAACAGCTTCGCAGGTCCCGAATAAAAATAATGACTGGGGCTTTACGCCTCACCCACTGCCGGGATAATTTTCAGATAGATGTCTGTATTAGGTATCATCGCATGATCTGAGTTTACCCCAAAAGTCATTTGAAAATCAAATAATTGACCAGTCACAAGATCTCAAGGTTCGTATGTCGATTTTGATAACGCGCGTCGCCGCGCAACGCTTTTATAGTGATTTCAGTGATTAGATGGTCCGATGTCAGTGGCCATAAGAGTGGCCAGGGGTCATGGCCTCAGCCGGCAACTGAAGCCCCAGGTGTTGCCACAGCGCCCCCTCGTGCACCCGCCGCCGCTGCAGCGCTCCCAGCTCGGGACAGCACCCGCTCTGCGGCGGGCCGGCCGGTGAGCGCACCTGCTCGATGTGTAGGTCTTCGCTCTTCTTGGTGGCGTCCAGTAGCAGGTTGTGGTCGGCCAGGCCGGGCACGAAGCCGGGAAGCCCCAGACCGACGCCGATGGTAGCTTTGTACGGGTTCACCACCGAGTTGTAGTGGGTGCCGCGGTGGTAGGAGAGGCGGATCGGCTCGTTGGTCGTGCCCGTCGGCTCCTGGTGCGCGTGGAAGATGTTGATGGCCTCTGGGAGCAGACCAAACCCGTTTTGGAGTGAGTGCGCGGGTGTCGCAAATTTCCTAACACAGCTTGAGAACAGGTACACGCGGAGCCATATATCTGAAGTGCATGGCGTTGTTTTTGTTCTTGTGTTAATTTTTGTGTTCCAGGTCATTTAAAATCAGTGACTACAGGCAGGTCAACGATGATCATGTAACGAAACAACCTTTCAGCGTGCTGCAGCTGATTAACGACAAAACACATCCTGCCGTACCGTTAAGCTTTACAACTGAAGGACATGTCGAGATCATTGACCTAATATAAGGATATTTCGTACCAGCTGTTGACGAAGTTCTGAGAGCAAACGAAATTCAGAACACCAGTTCTCAAATGGCTGGTCTACATATGTGTGCAACAACACAGCTGCATTAAGAGGGAATATCTGAGTCGGGACAAACATTGCGAGTCCAGAGGACAACTAAAGCAGCAAACCTTTCAAACATTACGCCTTTACAGGTCGCGAGAGGCTGTGGGGAGCGCCACCGACAGAATGGTCTTTCGATATCTCACCAGAGCTATAGCAGAGCACTTCTATGGTGCGGCTGTACATTTCACTCATCGCCTGGATCTCGATGTGATTGCCATGCACCCATGGCTTACTCTTGCGGCGCACGTACTCCCGAAAATCCTCCGTTATGTACTGCGAGAAGTAATCCTCGTTGGAACCCTGAAATACAGACACAAATTCGTTGGATTAACACCCGTCAATGCAGTTCACATCAGGCAAACAGGGCATTTCGCGATATTCGGAATTTGGCATGATTGGCAACAGTGCGGGATAATGAAAGCTGTATTCGGATTGCAATACACAGCAGTACGCTATCTTTGAGAAAATGCCGTGTATGGGTTCTCTAGAATCTACACAATCAAAATATACCCACCGTGCCTAATAAACATGTATCTCTCCCATGTCCCAGCCTCTAGAAAGAAGACTTTATGATTCCTAAAACCAGCTTGTCAACCAAATCCTATGTGAAACATAAAAAATGATCAGAGCACTCTGCCGCGTACAGCAGCCTGTGAGTAATATGCGTAAAGGGTTACCATAGAATGCAAGCTAAGGACAAGCTTCACGAATATCACAGCTGCTGCAGGGTAGCAAAGACGATAAAAAATGTGTCATTTGATCTGGCGTGATGACGTTGATACACAGCACGTGAAGCAAAAAAGCTTTCAGCCAGCACAATCATTTTAAATGATATAATCCAGATGCCATATAAAAGCGTGAGTGTTTTTGCACCTAACTTGAGGCACTAATCAAGTCTCAGGGCTAGTGGATCTTAACGGCTGAGTGGGAGCGGACCGCGAGCTGCTCTACATGCAGTGAAGTAAGGCCAGCCGGCGACAGCAGGCCTCCGTGGCACAACGCCCTGGTTCACACGTCAGCCTACGCTCGACACATCTTAATGGGGGCTAGCTTACCTTACAGGGAGCTCAGACAGCACAAAGAGAGACCACTGCCAGCAGCACGGGAGCGACCCTTCCCCACCACCGCCCGTTGGTCAGACCCGGTGGCATCCATGCCGCTCACAATATACTCCATGCAGTATTTGCGGACGGTGTGGTGCATCTCCTCGTCACCGAAGATCTGGTCGGCCACGGCGCGAAAGAGGCAGGCGCCATCCTCTACAGTTCGCTTGATCGTCAGGCCCTTCTTCTTCAGCTTCTTCTCGAACTGACGCTCCTTCTGTGGGACACATACGAACATTACGCATGGAAAACGTGCGCGACGTAGCACATCACGGAAAACACCGCAAAAACTTCTAAAACTGTTCTACGACTTTCATATTCAGCAGCTCCAAAAAAGATTAAATGCTTGTTAGCCAACTCTGAGCAAAATAACGTCCTCTTTTCTTTGTTTCCAGCTAAACGACGAACCGTAATCTACGATGAGATGATAACTGGTTCGTAAAAAGCGTCTGAATAGCTGTCCGCTTCATTACAAACGGGCAGCTGACATGATCTGATTCGGCTTTTGGGGGATTATTTGGCCTGTCGTTTGTTGTTGACCTAACATGACATCGTTTGGTAAGCCAATTGCAATTTGAAAAAAGCACTTCCAAAAGCTATTTTCAAAAACGTAGGGGACACGTGCGGGCCGTCACTACTGACGTCACATCGTCGAGACTAGTGATAGCTTTGAAATGCATTTCCTGTCAAATGGTATCATATTAAGCGCCCGACAACCATCTAAAATTCCGTGGACCATTACGTAAGTATCGACGATTCAAAACTTACGTAATGTGAGACGGTCACCTCTGGCTCAATCGTCCCAAAGTCGTGCCTTGCCAATGAGCTCGGCGCTGTTGTCATTGGGACTTTACGGCAAAGAGGATTGCAAAAGTGCTGCCTGGCACAAGTTTAACTGCAGTACTAATTTCAATGCTACGCCTTAAGTGCTACAGATGTCATGTGAGGTGATGCGGACGAGGCGTGGTGTCAACCCCTCTCCCCTCCCCATCGGCGGCGGCCCAACCACGCGCCAAGGTCACGCGTCCCGGTGAGTCATGCTGGTTGACTCAGACAATAGATAAGGCATGTCGGCGAACAAGGCCGCATGCTCGGGCTCGGGCTGCGCGGGGCGTTAGACCGTCACTGGGCGGCAATTGACCCGGCGCTTGCCGGCGCTGACATTCGCATACCCTCACAGTCCTCGCAAGACAGTGACATCCGACGACAAGCGTGAGAACAAAGAGACGGGCATGCCACATTACCACCTCTGGCCCCAGCGACATTTCATAGGACGGCATTAGCAATACTGGCACCAGAACGCGACCGCATCCCACGTGCCCAGACTGTGCCAGTGACGCGCAGGACTGATTTCTCCCCTGCGGGACTTTCCACCGACCAACTTCAAATTATGAACAGTACTCGCAAACGCTGGTCTGTGCACGTCACCCCGGCGTGGAGCGCGCCGCGCCGCGCCAAGCCGGGCCGCGCCGCAGCGCGCAGGACGGCAGGGGAGAGTACAAAGGAGGCGGCGTCGGCCGGCGGTCGATGCCGCGGGCTGCCCGCCCCGCGCCGCGGCCGCCTTCCATCGAGCAGGCTCACTGGACGGCGCCGGTCCGCCCGGCTGTGGCCAGACCACCACCGGGGGGACAGGCCGTCTCCACCGTACGGTCCGCCCGGCTGTGGCCAGACCACCACCGGCGGGACAGGCCGCCTCCACCGTACGGCTCACACCTGTCGAATTCCCGCCTACGATGGCCACTGGCGCTTCACACGCCATTAGCAACGCATGCACCTATCCTTGTTCATACCACAGCAACTACAAGCACAGCTACCGTAGCTTAGGCAGAAAAATACTCGGGAAATGTGCGAGACATGAATTATGATACCGGGATCAAAGATCTAGTCAGGGGCTATCATATATACCAGCGCACTTATTTGGAACACAGAGATAGTGATATAACACCAATATTTGACTCTAGGGCAAAGGAATGAACTTAGAATTAATCGCACTTAGCGTGTGGAGCGCTGAATAAATGACAGATAGCACGCATTTGGATCAATCGCGTAATTTCATCGCGCACTACATCACGATAAATTCGAACCAATAACCACGTTGGTATCATACTCTAAACTAATTCAAAGAGCATTTGTCATATACAAATCGAGACAACAGGAAAGGTCCAAGTTTGCCACGTCATGCAATGAACGGACTAATCCGACAGACAGCAGTTCCGTGAACCATTTCTGGTATGATCACTCGCCGCAGGTCAGTGATAGGATCCGGCCTGACCCTGCTTAGACCACACATGCCACTGGTCAGTGGTGCGATCCGGCCTAATCCTACACAGGTCGCTGGTCAGCGGTGGGATCCAGCTTTACCCTGTACAGGTCACTGGTCAGTGATGGGATCCAGCCTGACCCTGCAGGTCCCTGATCAGTGGTGGGATCCAGCTTGACCCTACACAGGTCGCTGACCAGCGATGGGACCTGGCCTGACACTGTACAGATCACTGGGCAGCGGTGGGATCCAGCCTGACCCTACACAGGTCACTGGTCGGTGGTGGGATACAGCCTGACCCTACACAGGTCACTGGTCAGCGGTGGGATCCAGCTTGGCCCTACACCGGTCACTGGTCAGCGGTGGGATCCAGCCTGACCCTACACAGGTCCCTGGTCAGCGGTGGGATCCAGCTTGACCCTACACAGGTCCCTGGTCAGCGGTGGGATTCGGCCTGGACCTAAGACCTGACCCTACACAGGTCCCTGGTCAGCGGTGGGATTCGGCCTGACCCTACACAGGTCCCTGGTCAGCGGTGGGATTCGGCCTGACCCTACACAGGTCCCTGGTCAGCGGTGGGATTCGGCCTGACCCTACACAGGTCCCTGGTCAGCGGTGGGATTCGGCCTGACCCTACACAGGTCCCTGGTCAGCGGTGGGATTCGGCCTGACCCTACACAGGTCCCTGGTCAGCGGTGGGATTCGGCCTGACCCTACACAGGTCCCTGGTCAGCGGTGGGATTCGGCCTGACCCTACACAGGTCCCTGGTCAGCGGTGGGATTCGGCCTGACCCTACACAGGTCCCTGGTCAGCGGTGGGATTCGGCCTGACCCTACACAGGTCCCTGGTCAGCGGTGGGATCCAGCCCGACCCTACACAGGTCCCTGGTCAGCGGTGGGATTCGGCTGACCCTACACAGGTCCCTGGCAGCGTGGGATTCGGCGACCCTACACAGGTCCCTGGTCAGCGGTGGGATTCGGCCTGACCCTACACAGGTCCCTGGTCAGCTGGTGGGATTCGGCCTGACCCTACACAGGTCCCTGGTCAGCGGTGGGATTCGGCCTGACCCTACACAGGTCCCTGGTCAGCGGTGGGATTCGGCCTGACCCTACACAGGTCCCTGGTCAGCGTGGGATTGTCCTGACCCTACACAGGTCCCTGGTCAGCGTGGGATCCACTTGACCTACCAGGTCCTGGTCAGCGGTTGGATTCGGCCTGACCCTACACAGGTCCCTGGTCAGCGGTGGATTCGGCCTGACCCTACACAGGTCCCTGTCAGCGGTGGGATTCGGCCTGACCCTACACAGGTCCCTGGTCAGCGGTGGGATCCAGCCTGACCCTACACATTCCTGGTCAGCGTGGGATCCAGCCTTGACCCCTACACAGTCCCTGGTCAGCGTGGGGATTCGGCTGACCCTAACACAGGTCCTGGTCAGCGGTGGATTCGGCCTGACCCTACACAGGTCCCTGGTCAGCGGTGGGATTCGGCCGACCTACACAGGTCCCTGGTCAGCGGTGGGATTCGGCCTGACCGCTACACAGGTCCCCTGGTCAGGTGGATTCGGCTTGACCCTACACAGGTCCCTGGTCAGCGGTGGGTTCGGCTGACCCTACACAGGTCCCTGGTCAGCGGTGGGATCCAGCCTGACCCTACACAGTCCCTGTTCAGCGGTGGGATTCGGCCTGACCCTACAGGTTCCCTGGTCAGCGGTGGGATTCGGCCTGACCCTACACAGGTCCCTGGTCAGCGTGGGATTCGGGCCTGACCCTACACAGGTCCCTGGTCACGGTGGGATCCAGCCTGACCCTACACAGGTCCCTGGTTCAGCGGTGGGATTCGGCCTGACCCACACAGGTCCCGGTCAGCGGTGGGATCCAGCCTGACCCTACACGGTCCCTGGTCAGCGGTGGGATTCGGCCTGACCTACACAGGTCCCTGGCAGCGGTGGGATCCAGCCTGACCCTACACAGGTCCCTGGTCAGCGGTGGGATCGGCCTGACCCTACACAGGTCCCTGGTCAGCGTGGGATCCAGCTGACCCTACACAGGTCCCTGGTCAAGCGGTGGGATTCGGCCTGACCCTACACAGGTCCTGGTCAGCGGTGGGATCCAGCCTGACCCTACAGGTCCCTGGTCAGCGGTGGGATCCAGCCTGACCCTACCAGTCCCTGGTCAGCGGTGGGATTCGGCCTGACCCTACACAGGTCCCTGGTCACGTGGGATTCGGCCTGACCCTACACAGGTCCCTGGTCACGGTGGGATCGGCCTGACCCTACACAGTCCCTGGTCAGCGGTGGGATCCAGCCTGACCCTACACAGGTCCATGGTCAGCGGTGGGATTCGGCCTGACCCTACACAGGTCCCTGGTCAGCGGTGGGATTCGGCCTGACCCTACACAGGTCCCTGGTCAGCGGGGGATTCGGCCTGACCCTACACAGGTCACTGGTCAGCGGTGGGATACAGCCAGACCCTACACAGGTCCCTGGTCAGCGGTGGGATTCGGCCTGACCCTACACAGGTCCCTGGTCAGCGGTGGGATCCAGCCTGACCCTACACAGGTCCCTGGTCAGCGGTGGGATCCAGCTTGACCCTACACAGGTCCCTGGTCAGCGGTGGGATTCGGCCTGACCCTACACAGGTCCCTGGTCAGCGGTGGGATTAGGCCTGACCCTACACAGGTCCCTGGTCAGCGGTGGGATTCAGGCCTGACCCTACACAGGTCCCTGGTCAGCGGTGGGATTCGGCCTGACCCTACACAGGTCCCTGGTCAGCGGTGGGATTCGGCCTGACCCTACACAGGTCCCTGGTCAGCGGTGGGATTCGGCCTGACCCTACACAGGTCCCTGGTCAGCGGTGGGATTCGGCCTGACCCTACACAGGTCCCTGGTCAGCGGTGGGATCCAGCCTGACCCTACACAGGTCCCTGGTCAGCGGTGGGATTCGGCCTGACCCTACACAGGTCCCTGGTCAGCGGTGGGATTCGGCCTGACCCTACACAGGTCCCTGGTCAGCGGTGGGATTCGGCCTGACCTTGTGCAGGCGGCTGGCCGTCAGCTCGCAGTGAGCGCACGTCTCGCCAGTGGTCGTCGGTGAGCTTGAGCTTGTTTAACATATCATCTGTCCGCAGTGTGGCCTGAACCCATTGATCGTTGGTAATCGCCCAACTACTCCATGCGCCACCAATAGTCATCAGCAAGCCTGTGCTGGCCACCCCTGGCACCACCCATCAGTGAGAGCTCCAGATCAGCCCACCTCCTGTCACTGGGTAACTACGAACCATCGGCAGGCTCCAGCCATCCCCAGCCAACCTACATCCTGTCACTGGGTATCTACGAACCATCGGCAGCAGTCTTGGAAAACTTGATGTTTCCCGGTACAATGTAAACCAAGAGATTTTGTATTCCAGGTTGGTGACTAGGTAAAATGAAATAAAAAATGTTTGGAAAAACTAATTGCATTTCCCTGTTTCAGCACAGAATTAAACCAGGTGCAACAGCTTGAGACTTGCTGCTTCCATCCTGAGCCATGTATTGATATCTGCCAGAGCACAAATCTTGCACCTACCAGACTAAGATGCCCAATAGCAACCAGCCTGTGTTACCACTTAGGTATATGATAAACCATGTATGGACGTATGAAAAATAAAGCATGTGAATGTTGGATGGAATCGCCTTTCAACAATACCGGGAAATGAGAAACGAGTAGCAGAATCGCACTCGTCTGTAGATTAGCGCAGCTCTCACTTCCTACGCCATACGCAGACCAACTCAAACTTGAACATGACCTAACTGAACATTGACGACGGACCGCATTAATCGCCAAGGATGCAATGAACGGTCAAAGAACACCACACAACCAAACACGTATACAGACGGCTGGCTACTCACGCGCCACCACTGTGTCATGGCAATGCAAATAAGAGATTACTCGCAATTCAGTGTCGGAAACGTCTAAACTATTCAGCGGCTTGCGCCCGCCTCCCAGCTCACGTTGTAGGTTGAACACAGCAAAACTCTGCAATTGGTTTTAATGATTCGCCTCCTCGTGACTGATTTGTCAAGAACATACATATTCTGTTCGCGCTCATGCCTTGGACAGATTTGTAAACATTCGGAGGGAAGCTGTAGAGATGGGCATCCCGATTATGACGAAGGACTTATTAGTACTCGTCCAGAACCGCCCTGTGGTAGGATTGTTTGCCACTTCCTGGTATCCGGAGTACACAAATGTAATGACAGCTGGGGATCTAAATCAAGTTCAGTTTGTCACTTAAGGGTGTGAAATTAAAGCTGGTTATTCAAGCGTTACAAAAATATACTTTTAAGTCGAAAAACGTTGCTATAAATAGCCCAAAAAATTGTTCGGAGACAGCCATCTCACTGCGGCAAAACACCAGGACACCAGAGTAACATGAACCCATATTTTTGGCACGGCAAATTAAGTAGAAGGGTTTATTAGGTCCAAAACACCAATGGATTGCAACATAGATTATCATATCTCGCAATGGCATGGGTAAAAGCACATCAAAATCCATAAATACCTTGTATTATCCGCCGGAGTGAGCGGAGTCACTGACTCCGATCCCTTTTGGCCAGCCTAGACGGGTCTGTCAGGCATTGTACTTGCGCTGGCTCGGTGAATCGGTTGACAGTGATGCCTGTCTCTATTACTCGGCTGGAACGTGCTGGCCTTGTGTGTTGCCCGGGAGGTGGAGGGCATGAATGCTTACACCGTTTTTAAAACCAGTTAGCTGGTGGAGCGTGAGTACCGTGACCGTGGTGGAGCGCGAGTGGCGTGATCGTGGTGGAGGACAAGTAGGTGGCACGTTCATTTGCATTTTGTGTATACCATTTTTCTCTGGCTGTGCGTATCGTAGCCACTGTCCATGTTGGAGGGTGTATAAACCCGGTACGTAGCCACCCTCCATTTTGGAGGGTGTATCAGCCCAGTGCGTAACCATCCGCCGTTTTGGAGGGTGTACAAACACAGTTTGCCATAAATTGCAAACCCATATATATCCAACTATGTTTCATAGTAAAAGGCCTGAGACCGTGTTCTTTCAGTGCGCCATGTTTAATAATGATGCTTCCTTTCATTTAAAGTGCTTTTGCATGAATTGCTGTGTTGGGTATGAAAAGGGGGACTTTTGTTGAGTACCACCCATTGTACTGATATCTCTCAAAGATAATCGAAATAAAATTGCAATGACCACGGCGCTTGGATATTTTTGTACTCCGCTATAGAACATTTGCACTCCGCCACCAGAATTTTTTTTGAATTTCCAGCACTGATCGGCAGGCTCGCCGGTCGGCCTACCTCCTGCCACTGGGTAACTACGAGCCATCGGCAGGCTCGCCGGCCGGCCTACCTCCTGCCACCGGGTAACTACGAACCATCGGCAGGCTCGCCAGTCGGCCTACCTCCTGCCACTGGGTAACTACGAGCCATCGGCAGGCTCGCCGGTCGGCCTACCTCCTGCCACTGGGTAACTACGAGCCATCGGCAGGCTCGCCGGCCGGCCTACCTCCTGCCACCGGGTAACTACGAACCATCGGCAGGCTCGCCAGTCGGCCTACCTCCTGCCACTGGGTAACTACGAGCCATCGGCAGGCTCGCCGGTCGGCCTACCTCCTGCCACTGGTCGTCGGTGAGATCCCAGCAGTCGGCGCCGTACTCGTCGCCCGAGTTGTAGCCGGCGGCGTCCGTATCGATGCGGCCAACCGACGGGCCAGGCACGCCCAGCGGGCCGGACACGCCGGCCACCAGCGGCGGCCCGGCCGCCGGCGGCGCAACCGCGTGGAACGTCGGTGAGGCCGTGCTGCGTTCGGCACGCTCGCGGTGCTTGGCTCGCACCGACCTGCGACGACACGGGCAGGCCAGGTCATGTGCCGGCGGGCAGGGATAAAAGGATGGCAGCCAGCCCGATGGGCCGACGATGCACAGAATTGGGAGGTGATGAAGTAGGGATGAGCCAGCTGTGATTTGAGCCTTACAGCTGCATTTCAGGCAGGATTGCAGGGTGAAAATGGCTTTCACGTATTGAAGCAAGAAACAGGAATGAAGCGGGGAAATTTGCAGGCATATGGAATTATGTGAGCATCAACTAGTTGTCAAACATATGCTCTACCACGGCGCGCGTCATGGATTTTCAGTGCCATGCCTCCTGTACGTGACGCATTCTCGGTTTTTGTGGGTGTACTTAATACTGCAAAACATTTCAAAGGCACTGCGCTGCATGCGCTGTCGGCTGTCCACCGTCAGCCAGCACCTGACGCTGGCGTCCCGGGGCCCGGGTCCCGGGGCGAGGCCGGTGCAGCAGTCCCACCTGTGCGGGCTGGCGCGGTGGCGCCGCTTGCCCGGGTTGGGCGGCGGCTCGCGGGTGTCGTACTCCTCGTACTGTGCTCCGGCCTCGTCACGAGATGGCGCCAGCGGCCAGACGGGCGGCGAGTTGGAGCCGGCCGCGAAAAGACGCTCCAAGTCGGTGCGGGCCACTGGCAGCTGGCAACACAATATAGCGGTGCAGTGCTGTACCCACCATACTCATATGGTATGCTGCTGAGTACCAAACATTGACAGGGAAAGGTGAATCAGCTTCTGAGTAGTGTTATATCAACTGATCCCACAGCAACCTGCTGGGGTTCTTCAATCTTACTCAGCACATAATAATAATTACACACACACAAATACCACTGATAACTTGTGCTGAAGCAGTGCAACATGGAAAGCCCATCACGAAACACATATTCAATATACCATGACAATGGACACAGCTGAGAGGGTGGGGGGCACAGGGGTCATGGACCCCTTCACACTAGATACTGGGGGCTTCATAGGAACCCAGGTAAATTCACAGGAATTTGACTATGCTGAAATTTCAAAATCTGCACCATTGCCCAATGAAAACCTTGTCAGTGTGTCAGACCAAGACAGACTAATGGATGAATGCCATGTTTTTGGACAATGTTTAAATGCTTGAGGAACACAAGTTTTGTTTCCCATAGCATCAAATTATCAAAAATGAGCCATCTGAACTGCTGGGTGCACGTGCGCGACCACTTTCTCCATAATCCTGTGCGGCAACTCCGGGTTAAATTTGCACATAGTTCTTTCAATCCTGACCTGTAACTGCTTGTCTGATCATGCTTGCCCGTCTCCCCCATACATTGGTCCCTTGATCAGACCCCACATGTTTGCTATTGGTCAGACCTGGGGAGTGTATGGTGGCTTTATCTCTTGGGGAAGATACTGTGTGCCAGTCTCTCCAAGCATCTGTAGTGTCCAACATGTGTAATGTGTCCAGGTGAGATCTGGCCAGAAGATGCACTGGTTATCACCACAGTGGGTTCTTAGAAAAGCTAAATGAATGTCCTTTATGCACTTCTGATGTTATGTTGATCATCCACATTCTTGCTACTGGTTACAATCACCAGGTGGGTGATCTTCAACACTGTCACCATCACCATGATCATCCACATGGCGAAACCACACCAGCAACCTGTGTTGGCTTCATCCCTCAATCTTATATCAAGGACACCTTCTCTACCCGCAAGTGTAAAAATCAGAGTTTCCTGGCATTTGAGTGCCAGAATGTGAATTAGGATTTGTCACCTTGTTGGACACTGGTCCTTGGGACAAGTTATGGATGTGAGTCCCTTGGAGCATTCCTTGATCTCCAGAAGCCTCTGGTGTCTTTACTGACTTCCTGAATTTGCATTCATCCCATAAAGTGTCCTCACCAGCCATTGCCTAAGTTCTTGTTTCAGGGTGTTCTTCCCTTTCTGGCAAGCTGAAACTTCTCTGGTACACTAAATTTGCAATCTTGTTTCCAGATTGTCAAAAGAACTAATAGCAGTGACTCACGTCAATCCAATATCTTTTAAAATATTGGGCAGCAGCAGGTTTGGAAACACTGGAACTGTCCTAGGCATGTTTTGAGATGAGGTTGCAAACCCCTGGTCTGATATGGTATCATTATCTGGTCAGACTGTATCACCTTCATACTCCAAAAAGAACAGAGATGACAGGGACTTGCTGCATTCAAACCTCTGCCAGTCAAAATGCATCAAAAAATATAGGTCTCACCTAGTCAAACAAACTGTGCAAGTGGAGCAATCAATCCATTTTCCCACATCCTGAAGTAGTTTTGCACAACATGCAGAAATCAGGCCAACAAAGTTTTGAGATCACATGTGTCACCTTTGCCATGGAATCATTCCCTTCTTGTTTGCACAAAAGCTTAAAGTTCCTGAACCCAGGCAATCTCAATGGGTCATGGTGATCATTCATGATTATCTTTTCCTTTACTACAAGGCAATTGTGATCTGAAAAATATGGTGATGCATCTTTAACATCCCGCATGACATAGAAGTAGCACCAACCCAGATGTCAAACCTCATGTTTTTCTTGAGGATTCTGATTGCCTAGCTTCCAGATAAGCAAAATTACAGAAATTTGAAACCTTACAAAAAGAAACTGGCCATCATGATAGGCACCCATACACAACTGAGCTTTCTAGACACTTACAAACCAACTCAGCTTAGAAAATACTGATCACCATCTCATTCATGCACAAACATCACAGTCATCCCTCTTACATATATCCATTTGCATAAATAATTATGAAGAAGTTGTGTAAATGTTCTCAAACATTAGGTGATACTATTTGAGCTACTTCTCATTTAGTTGGACAAATCTGCAGTTACCTCATAAATAATTGATGCTGTAAGAGAATTATGTTACACCACATGTTCCTATAGAAAAATTTCAATTTCAAGAGAACAATCCCTGCACACTAAATGGCAGGGATTTTACAGGTGGTAAAAACAATTGCAACAAACTCTTAACACAACAAGATAAACAAAATGATCAACATGCTTCTTATTACATTGTGCACCACTGACATTTACAACCCAAGTTCAAGGAATCACAATAAAACAGCTTGCGAGTTACACAGGATGAAGCTAATTACTTGGCTAGACCAACTGAAAACTGGAACAAAATAATAACAGTCAAATAAATGATACTATTAGATCAATTAAGAACTAGCAAGGGCTGACAGCAGGCAAACTTTACTTCAGGAATGTACAAGGAGCCAGATCTCTGAAAATGAGCTTTCTGAATTCACTCCATGCTTCAAAATTCAAATAATTTATATTTATGTACAAGCAAAGAATAAAGAAAAAGGGTGGAGCTGGCCAATGAGGTCTCAAAAAGTGATATTATCCAAAGAACAGTGAAATGTAAGAACATTTTAAAGAAAGCCACAAGTTTGCATATCAACTTTTACTGAACTTGGGAACTGTTTTCCCTAAACTTATGATGAATTAAGGACCAGATCCTTTATAAAACTGATAGACATCATCAAAACTGACATCCAGAACCATATGTGTACATGACAAATTATGCCATTAAGGATGACATTTTAACACAGATATAAAATAGATGACATGCACAAAATGCATCTGACACACCATACATGAACAAACACAAAACATATTTACACCACCAAAGTCGCATATGGTCAGCACATTGAAGAACATTGATGATTGCTGGGACCCCTCCCTCATTTATTGATTCATACCTGACCAAGACCATTTGCCTGTTGGTTTATGTTTACTTGATGTTGATTGTGATGTCCCAAAAGAGGTCCTCCATGCAGGCTTGTCCCTTCGGAGTTTTCATTTTCCAATGGGCGCTCAGCATTCTTCTTTTTGTGTTTAATGGTCATGGCGTCATGAAGTGCTAAACGCAATCTAGTCTATTATTCCTTCACAGAACAAATTTCGCTCCGACTCGTAATGTCCTAACACACAAGAATGTACTAAGAAGGGTAATTTACACCACCAAGCTCTCTATCGATGAAAATCCACGAAAGCACCTCCGCTATCTCCCAAATACAAAACCCCAGTCCTATGATGGCGACCATCCACAGCTGCTCATTGTTTATTTTCCTTCAGAGAAAAGAGATGGTACGTAGGTGTACGAACTTATTGAAGTGATGGACACGAGTACTTGGGAACAATTTATGAATTCTGCAGAGATATTGCTGACAATATTATACGATGCCTGCGCGAAAGGAATTTCAAACCTTCTTCGAACATTGCGCAGCTCATATAACCACGAGTGAGAAAGTTAAAGCCATTGTTTGGCCCCCTTTTAATAGATCACCAAATATGAAGTAAAATAACCAAAATGAGCATTCTACTAAAGTGGACGAATCACATTCAAATAAACCTTTGGCCAGTGATTAGATTATTGCCATCAATATGGACATTGTCACGACTGGTTTAACGGATCCGCTAACCATGATGCCTATTCAAGTCACCAAATACACGAAGGAAACGTCCAGACAAAAATACTATTCACCAGTTTAACTGAGTTTGCACCAAATAGTTCAGACACTCATCAACCAGCAAAACGACTATATTCTAAACCAGACTGGCGCGAATGTTTTGCGAGGCAGATGCCATTATTTGCATTGGTGGTGCGTTCTAAGCGTGAGTCGCTGACTAGCATTGAGTTTCGTGCATACTTCGACACCTAGAAGCGCACCCAGGTGTGGGGGGGGGGGGGGGGGCGCATCATCCCGCTTGGCCCCGGGCGACCTTCGGAACCCTCGGCAGACTCGGCAGACGATCAGCGGCCTGACTGGAGGGCCTGAAGGGCTGGCCGGGGTATGAGCCCGGGGTCAGGGCCTGACCCTGAATTGTCACCCAAAGGGACTCGTTGCGCCTGTCGTGGGTCCTCGGGGCGACGAAGGCGTCATGCAGGTCTGAAACCACTAACGCTGACCAGTTGAAACCTTCCCCCTAGCCCCTCCCATCACCAAAACCCCCTGATCACCCCCTGATCACCAGCTGAATCAGCAAGCCAAAACGGTAGTTCATCACCAGGATCGATGATACACCACAAATGGTTGCAGTTCAAATTTAGTATTGTCAACACAGACGAGGCATGAGGACTAAAATGTCCATTTTCAGGCGGAAAGTTAGAAGTGATCACAAAAGTGAATTAAAATGTAACTAAAATCCCAGCTTGTCGCCTTCCATAACTCAATCGGTATCAGCTCCCGGCGATCCCAACCCACCTATGGCGGTGTCAGGGTTTAACACGTTCCCGGATGGCCGGTTGGATACCCTTTGCCCGGGTGGGGTGGGGGGGGGGGGGGTCAATTTGACACTATTGAGATCTCAGGAACTCAGAGAGCTAGAGACACTAAATTTACAGTGTGTTGATCTGTACGTGAGTTCCCTTAAGGTCAAGTTCCAGGTGCCTAGGTCATGACCGTCGGTTCAAATAAGGTCAAACAAAGTCAAATTTTAGTCTGGTTGGTCTCCGAAGGGCCCCTAGCACCTAGATAACTGTTCTAAGCAAAAGGCCACATACTCATCTAATGTCAGTGACCTTGTTTTTGTTCGATCTTTTGAACGTCATTGTGACCAAAATCATACAAGACCGCTTTGAGCTTTGCATTTGGATAAGCTACAAAGATAACTCCAGGCATTATGTTCCTGAAATCGAAATGTCGACCTGGGTCATTTTAGGCCAGTGACCTATTCTGAGCTTCAAGAAGTGTATGGAAGGTGTATAATGCGGTTCCTGCAATCAATGAATTTGAAAAGAGGACTAGAAACCACCCCATACAGCAAGCGCTAGAGTAATAAAACAGGCTTGTTTTGACCTTGGTCTGACCTTTATATCTGCCCTTAGGTCAAAATAATTTGTTCGTCCAATTGTCGTGTTGCCTAAGAAAGTATCTCAGAGATGCATGGATTCGTCTAACACTCCGTCGCTGGATCAGATTGAACGATTCCCTGGGAATTGCCTTCGCTAAAATCATAGCCTGGCTTTGACCTACCATACCTCAGCGACCTTACAAGGCACATCTGAATTTTTGATGCCAGGCGATCCGCTTTTCATTTGTCAAGCAAAATTGGCAAATGGCAAATTGGCAAATGGCAAAACAGCCATGCAAAATTTGGCGTGGCCTAGCCCGGTCGTTCGGAAACTGTTCCGGAAAACCTTCGGGGGGAGTCAATTTGACCCCCACCCGAGCGCGTGTTAAGTTGCTATACTCGCTCACAGGGGCGCCGCCAGGGATGCCTAAAGAGGGTGGGGGAAGCCCAGTGAGAAATCGCCATCCTTTTTTTTGAGGAGCCATATTCGATTCCAGAACAGCTATACTAAAAGAAAAACAATCCGGTGCTAAAAGAAAAATGTCGGCTTTCGGGGTAGGGCTGGTGGAAGTAGGGAAAGGCCTTGGCATCGTCTCTTAGCAGCGTATATGTGCGCGCTCTATTTGACCCCTAATTTGGAAAGTCTGCGGCAGCTGGCAGCGCCCCTTCACTGACAGAAAAGTCAAAGGGCAGCTATACCTAGCATTACAGCATGTTTAACTTGTTCCATAAAGCTCCGCCGTAGAATCGGATTTTACAAGAGGAACCTGGGCGAGCACACGCAACTCTGTTTTGCGAGGGCTCTGATCTCGAACATTCAATCAAACATGTTCGAAAAATCTGTGACAATAACTGTGCCATTCAAACATATATTAGCCAAATTTAGGGTTATCGGGCCCCTCACTAAAACAAGCCTCGGGAGTATTTTAAGACCCGAACGACCTGAACGGCCCCCGTTATTACTGGGGCCAGTAACTAACAGGGCCCCTCCATTGTCTCGTTGTGGATCAGCTCATTGTCATTTCTCGTATCGATCACCTCAATGTCAGAGAACACCGGCCAAAGTAAGAGGGTCTCAAAATTAATGGTTCAGCCCCACTCCTCGTCAAAAAATGTATCCATGGACGATGAGGATCTCCTTGCCGACACAGGCTTTCCTGTTAAGCACTGGCGGCCAATGGCCGATGCATGGGCGATACGTCGCTTTGGGGGCTGCGACCAACGCAGGTGCTTCGTGAATGAGGGGCGAGGGCTCAAGCCGGCACGGAGCCAGCTGTTCAGCATTAGGAATGTTCCACATTTAAAGATACTGAAGCAAAATCAGATGTGATGAAATAAGCTCACTTATAGCTAGTGGTTTACTTAAAAGTGGAAAAGACTGCTCTAGACAGCATAAACTTACAATTTAGTACATATGTGCCCCAGTGCGTCATAATTGATCGCGTTATCGTAACTTGCACAACATTGATCGGCAACCATTTGACGGCCTTTGTATTTGGAAATCGTGCCCACGAACGCCAGACATGAGCTTCTCGACATAGATGTTTGTATCGGCCTTGATAACCGCAAGGCCAATGCAGGGGCGGATCCAGAAGGGGGGGGGGGGTAGCACGGGACCATGGCTTCCTCCCTTGGGCCCCGAATGGGCCCATAGGCATCGAAGTGGCCCATAGCTGACGTAACAAACGCAGTTTCTCTCTCATTCACAAAACGGAACAAAATGAGACGTCTTTGGGCTTCCAGGCGACAAACAATAGTCGCAGGGGGAAGCAGAGGGCCCATGGGCATACAAAAATCATTTTTCATCGCCTAAGAGGGTAGTGATTGGGAGGTTTTAAGAATCATTACGCTGTCCACAGACCCTTCGCTGCTTCCGAAGTCCCTACATGTCCACGTGCGAGGTCAATCGTTAAGGAGCTTTCTACACTGCCCTTGATTTATTTGCATCTTCTCGGAGGGCCCTGCGCTATTGCTGGAGCCCTTTTTGCCGGCGTGGCGGGAAACTCTCGTCAATCAGAAGCCTCCCACTGATTCTGTTCCATTCGCCTGAAAGGCTCTATATGCTATAGCCGGGGCACCACGTGTTTACCTGTTGGGTTATTTTCGGTTGCTCAAGGGCCCTTCACGTTGATCTCGATTAATCTGCCGACACACTCACGATATGCCCATGGGCCCTCGGCATTAGCTTAGGACATTTTTGATTTTCTTACTTGCTTAGGGTCCCATGCTCTTGTCGGAGGTCTGTCTGTCCATCTGTTAACTTGCATGGACACATTGGATTTTGGGGGTCCTGCACATTGGGTTTTGGTATTCAAATATAGGACCCTACGCTTTTGCGGGGACTGGTAGCTTGCTTGCGTAAGTCGATCTTTAGGGGCTCACCACACCGTGTTTTGGGTATTTCCTACCTGAATGGAGACCCCTACGCTTTTCGGGAGTCCTATATGTCAATTTGCTCCGGCCCACTCGATAATTCCTGAACTCTCCATACTGTGTCTTGGATACCTCTTGTTTAAATGGATGGCGCTATGTTCTTGCTAGGGTCACATCTATTAAAAATCTCGAGCCAGCGGCGGACATTTCGAGGCTTATTACGCTGTCCAGAGGCGTAGCGCTGCTGCCGGGTCCTACTCGTTCACTTGCCGGGTCAATCCTATCGCTAAGGATCCTTCCACGTTGTCCTTGATCTCTGCATTTTCTCGTAGGGCCCTACGATGCCGTTGGGGCACTGTCCGCTTTCATGCCCGGGCACTCTTGATATATCAGCGGCTCTCCGCGGATTTATCTCATTCGTCCAGATGGCTCTCGACGCTTTTGCTGGGGCCATATATAGCGGGGCACACTCAGCTGTTCAGGGACCCTTCATGTAAGTTTCGGGTTCTCCCCACTTTCTTGGAAAGCTTGTGCTGTTGCTGGGGCCATGTAAGGTAAGATACTGGAATGCTCGATGCTCAGGGGCTCTCTACATTGAGTTGGTGCTCTTTCCCTTTTATCTCATTTGTGGATGACCATTTGCTCCTATCGGGACCGTTTTTGTTAACTTGCCCGGGCACTCTTCATCACAGAGGTGCATTAATTCACGCACTCTGGAATTGAGTTATTCCCCTTTGCTCAGAGGATGCTACGCCTGGGGCCCTATAAGTCAGACTACCGGGGCATTCCCGACCGCTCAGGGGCTCACCACGTTGGTTGGTCCCTTACCCCTCCCCCCAGTTCCTAAACCCATAAGGGAAACGATTGCACCGTAGGAGGTGTGGCGCAAATGTTAAATATTATGTCACTGTCTTAATAAATACTATTTCT